TCCAGTATGTATGTTTAGGTATGTATATCTGAGTGTATCTGTGAGTGTCAGTGCGTATCTCTGGGTGTGCCAATATGTTTATGCATTTGTTCCAGTGTGTTTGTATGTATGTATGTGTGTGTGCCAGTGTGTATGTGTTTGCCAGTGTGTATATATATATGGTTGTGTGTGCGAGAGTGTGTATGTATTTGTGCCAGTGTGTGTCTGTGTGTGCCAGTGTGTGTATCTATATGCGTGTGCCAATGTGTATGTATAGGTATATATACCTGTGTGTGTTTGTGTAGGTATGTGTATCTGTGTGTCTATCTGTGTGTATCTGTGAATGTCGGTGTGTATCTATGTGTGTGTCTCGGTATATGTGTGTGTGCCAGTGTGTGTTATGTGAGTGTATGTGTGTTTGTGTGTGTATTTGTAAGTATGTGTGTGGCAATGTGTGTATGTGTTTGTGTGCCAGTATATGTATGTAGGTATTTGTGTATAAGTATGTGTTTGTATGTGTGCCAGTGTGTATATGTGCCTGTGTAGGCATATGTGTGTATGCCAGTGTGTGTGTATGTGTATCTCTGTGTGTTAGTGTGTGTCTGTGTGCATGTGCATTTATCTGTGTGTGTAGGTATGTTTGTATATGTGTGTGTGTGCCAGTGTGAATGTGTGTATCTGTTTGTGTGCCAGTGTGTGTGTGTGTGTGTATCTGTGTCACTGTGTGTGGCTCTAGGATGGTCCAAGATAATTTCTTGCACCGGCGCCCTATCTGCATTAGTTACGTCACTGAATATACCCCTATGTTTATAGGCGCATGGGTTTGCAGAAAAAAACTGCTTTCTTTATAAATTTTTCTTACTTTAATCAAAAATGAGACATGTTTTTGTCATATGGTTTCTTAAACCATACTTATGTGGTATCATTATACTCAGGAAATGTAAGGTATTCATATTGTGTCTAGTTCTGTTATCACAGTGCTATTTTGAAGGTATTATTCTATCCATTATTCATATCACCCAGTAACCACTTTTTTTGCAAAGCATGCTGAAATGTAAATGTATGTGGACATATTAAGAATGTTCTTTCTGTAAATTCATTTTTTTTGACGGTTTTTAGGTCACAGTGGCATTAACCATTTGTCTGTGATATTAACTTAATTTAAAAGCTGGGGACTAGAAATGAATGAAAGCATTTAATCGAGGGTGCGTGTTTCACACCTATGTACTAATCAATAAGTGGGTGGGTTCCATTTATGTATCAACATAAGACAAAAATACAGTAAAGGAGTAAAGAAAGAGCATAGTGAGATGCAGAGCATAGTGAGACTAGTCACTATGGAATAAATGAGAGAGAAAAAAGAGAACTGCCAGGAGAGAGCGAGAAATAATAACGGTATCGCTGGTGGAGTGGCAAATATCAACCAATTCGGCTAGGTATTTCTTAAAATAAAACGTAACTTTTAATACAGCGATTATTAGGTGAAATAAGTCACCACGACAAAAAGAAAAGGAAAAGAAAATTCAAACAGAAATAAATATGTACATATTTACAATTACCCTGGGTGTAGCTATAATGTCTGTATATGAAAATCTGGTAGTTCTACCCAAATATAGGGATAATGAATACAGAGTAAGGTAGTACAGGCTGGAGCTTTGTGAGTTCAGGATAATAAAAACCATCGGTAGCAGACCAGGGGTATTAGGAGAATAGAAAAAATCTAAATCTAAACTCCAAACAAAGGGATAAGGGGACGTCTCCCTTCCTATTAGAAAGAAAAAAGTAGTATATAACAATGTGCAGTGCTGCAATAGGAATACTAAGATATCAGAAAATGCTGGTAATTCCGGCTAGATGGTCTGGCTAGAGATAGTGCAACTAAAAAAGTCCAGCAATGTAGTGGGAACAAAAAAAGCAACATTGTATTAGCTAATAGTCGCTGCCAATACATGTTTGTATCAATAGGGGTGATAGCAGGGAGAGGTAAAGTAAATACTAATTCTGTGCCTTCGAGGGCACCCCTTAACCCAAAATGCCTGTTACTGCTAAATGGATGTATAAGAAATCCCACCCTTCCACCCCTAGTTTGGCCCTCCTCTAGGGCTTTCTCAAAAGTTCTCCAAAGCACTTTATTATATACAAGCTTGGACCAATTAATGAAATATCAATGAGGAAGGCAGATTAACTATTTAAATGACAAAGAATATCAAATTAAGGCCTAATCACTTCCATGGTTCGCTTACTTTCAAATATGACATTAATATCTTCACGCCTGTTGACCAGGAGAACCCTTTAGATACCATGTTATGCTCTTCAGATTCCAATTCCTATTCCATTTACAATCTCTATATTATATTACGATATACCCCAGACTGGATCAGCTTTCAACAGGCTTAGGGAAGTGGAAGACACATTTTCCGAACATAAGTCCGGGAGACATGCTCACTGCACACTTTACTCATAGCCAGACATTGCCAACAGTGTCTTATAGGTACATGTCCCTTAAAACTCTACACTATGCTTATTATTCCCCTCACCGACTCCATCTCATGGCCAGAAATTATTTACCAATAATTGTTCATAGAGAACAACTTTGACATCTAAGAGGGATTTATCTAGAATTTCTTGGGGATATTTTTTCATCAGTGCAATTCCCTTTTTATTTTTCTTAATTGCCCTTTGTGTATATTATTTAACCAAGGGGAATAGAGTCCACTGATATAGAACATATCCATTAGTATTAATTTTCTTAAAGTGAGTTTTTAATTTTTAAAATATAATTTTCTATAAAAATTTTTACATTTAAAAAAAACAACTAACCATTCCGAGCTAATATTTCCTGTAAGATTAATGTCCTACTCATTATTACTTAAAAAGTCAAAAAATTCATAAAAGTCAATTTTTATTTTTTTTAAATGAACAACAATTGAAGCGGAGGTGGTTTATTAAATTGCTGGAACAGAAAGAAATTAAGTGGATTTTTAATGTAGGAACATGGGTGCCTTCAAGGATTAAATGTGAGTTTTAAATTGGTTAATGTTGCATACTTTTTTTTTATAGATTTCTATTCTTTTTCTAATATGGTTTAATTTTTGTATTGGAGGTTGTATCTAGTTTTTTATACATGTTTTTATTTTATCCAATACAGGTCTAATTAGGCTTGGAGTTTTATATGACTCAGTGGTTCCCAAACCAGTCCTCATGGCCCACAAACAATCCAGCATCTAAGTATTTCCATGTTTTAATCCAGTGGGCATATTGACAAAACCTGGACTGTTGGTGGGTCTTGAGAGTTGGGAAACACTGATATGATTATACCCCCTATTTGTTATAATAAAATAGCAATATATTTATTTTATTGTATGTCCTTAGACATTAATAACAGCATAACATTTTTATTGAACTTTCAAAAGACGTTTTGATATCTCTTTATGTATTGTATGTCTTTTGGCGTATTTTGCAAAATAAGGCTATAATTTGATATTCTTTGTCATTTAAATAGTTTATATGCCTTCCTCTTTAATATTTATTTAAATAAATATTCTCTGCATGACTGTTTTCCCAAATAGTGCTATCCCCTTGAAGAGCCGACTTACCGGCGAAACGCGTGTCAGGGCTCTGCTCTGCACTATACTCTATAACGATTACTTTAAGATATTCGTTTTTTCGTTTGCAATTAGATCATAGACATTATGTCCTCTGCAAGAGATACAGGCAGGGCATATGTATGACTGTTTTTTTTATTTTACTCATCTGCACTATTTGCACATGCAATATTTTTGGATTACTAAACGCATAAAATTTTGGCATTGTATATATATACTGTTTTGAGTGTAAACAATTTAGTGCATTTTCGCATTAAGGATCACGGAAGTGGCCTCTAGCGGATATCAGGGAGACAGCCACTAGAGGCTGGATTAACCCTCAATGTAAACATAGCAGTTTCTATGAAACTGCTATGTTTACAGCTGCAGGGTTAAAGCTAGGGGGACCTGGCACCCAGACCACTTCATTGAGCTGAAGTAGTCTGGGTGCTTATGTATAAAATAAAAAATATATAAATAAAATAGTCCTGAAGTTGCCAGCAATTTCAGAACTCTTTTCTTTATATATATTTTTATTGTATATGTTACTATATGTTATATCTTACCAATAAATAATTTTCATATATTTTAAGAAGTCCTCTGGAGCCTATTGAATCTGTCTAGGGATAGTGCCATTCCTCATATATTGGCATTAAGCTATTATACCTCAGAGCCGGGATCACAAGGGCATTCTACCTATTTCACCTTTTATATCACTTCAAACAGACTGCACATTGGTTCCTTTCTTTCTATGTTTTCTCTTTGAGATACTCCATACCACGGATTGAGGGTGTGATGTTGCCTTAAAAAAGCATTCATGCTTTATTACGGAGCCAGGATTTATACACAGGCTCCTTCAAATGTGAGTGTTCCTACTTCAGCACCACTACATTTTGCTGTTGTTTAATGTACCATCTGCACTATATTGTATGTTTTTCTTTTTCTCTTACATATTACCAACCACGTTTGTTATTAAGTCACACTGGGTAAGTTTACCCCGTATATATTTCAGCGCTCCACTCATAGGTGTAGGTTTCACTTACACCACCTTATAAACTTCAGATTTATTCAGTTTACAACTTAAAATTGGAAACCATGTGGCTCAAATAAAAAACCTGAATTCAAATAAATGTAATTGCAATTTTTTTTAAATTTGACATTTGTTGGGGGTGGAGGGGGCTTAACTGAATCCTTTTTATTTGGGTTATGTGTCTCTAAAAGACATTGATATATTAGCTCAACAACATGTCTTTATGAATTATCTAATGACTAACAATAAAATAAAACAAATAGTAACAACTTCACTGCCAAGTAAGTTTCAAATGTAAATAAAACAAAAACTAACATAATATTTATATGAAATAGGAAACTGATGGTAAAGCTAAACATGGTAGACCATATGTGAACTTTTTAATGATTAACAATATCTTATTGGTTATGTTACAGGACATTGTATTTATACTTTTAATAACATTGTTTATTATTTACATTAACATAAATAAATAAAATACACTATATGGCCAAATTTATGTGAACATCCATACTAATTACTGAGTTCAGATGTTTCAACCTTGCCCATTACTAATATGTGCATAACATTCAGCACAAAGCCTTGAAAACTCAATAGACTACCATTTGTAGTACAATATGTTGCATTGAAGATCTCAGTAACTTTATACATAGCATTGTCATAGGATGCCACCTTTGGAATAAGTCAGTTTGTGAAATTTCTGCAGTAGTAGTTCTGCCCCAGCAACTGTAAGTGCTATCATTGTGAGGTGGTAGCATCTAGAAGCAACAATAGCCCTGTCTCAAAGCAATAATCCACATATTAAAAGATTGAGGGTGCCCAATGCTAAAACGTGTATCTGTAATAATACGTTCCAGTACTAACTACAGAGTTCTAAATTTCCTCTGGGAGTAACATCAGCATGGGAACTCTGCATCAGGAACTCATGAAAATGGTTTCCTTGGCTGAGCAGCTGTACACAAGCCTCACATCCACATGTGCAATGCCAGGCCAACTGGAGTTGGCTAATGCAGGACTCCACTGGAAATGCGTTCTCTAGAATATGGTGCTTCATTATCTGATGATCTGATGGAAGACTCTGGGTGTAACGGATGCCAGGAGAACGCTAGCTACCGAAATGCATAGTGCATACTTTAAAGTTTTGTGGAAAAGTAATAATGATCTGCGGCTGTTTTTCAAAGTTTGTGCTAGGCCCCTTAGTTTCAGTGAATGATCAACTTAATGCTACAGGATACAAAGACATTATAGACAACTGGGTACTTCCAACTTGGCGGCAACCGTTTGGAAACGGTGCTTTCATGTTCCAGTGTGACTGTGTCTATATGCACAAAGGGGGATTCATGAAGATACAGTTTGATGAGTTTGGTGTAGCTCGAGTGGCCTTCACAGAGCCCCGACCTTAAACCCACTGAGCACCTTTGGGATCAATTTAAACACTGATTCTGAGTCAGACCTTCTCATCGAACGTTAGTTCCGGACCTCACAAATGTTCTTCTGGCTGAATAGGCACACATTTCAACAGACACAACCCAAAATTCTGTGGTAAGCCTTCCCTGAAGAATGGCAGATGTTATAGCTGTTGAAGGGAATGTGATGTCCAACAATCTTTTATCACAGTCAGGTGTCCGAACACTTTTGGCCATATTGTGTATCTGTAAGAAATTAATCAAAGTGCAATAAAGATGAATTAGAAGTATCTGGTGGCTTCCCAAGGCTGTAATTATATGACAAAACAACATAAGTTTCCAGTTGTTTATTTATTCATTACAGTGATATTCCTTTTACAATGCTTTTAATATGTAAGCTATTTCTTCAATACATTTCTGTAGCTTGGTGCTGTTATAAAAGTGGTCTTTTTACTAATACACTATTTCCCCATAGACCTATACATTCAGTAGCAAATATTTATGTAGAAGCTTTGGTTCTAAATATGCTTTGTCACAGATGAACTTTACTAAAGATCTGACCGCAATGACCACTGTAGGAAGGACCTGCTTGCTCAGTGACCTAATTTCTGCTAAATTGGTCACCTAGCCATTAAACATGTAAAGTGTATATGCATTTAACTATATAGTCTACACACATTATTCATGAACACACTGTTTTAGGCACACACATGTTACAATTGTGGTGAGGTAAGTCTGTGTGTGCACAGTAATATGTGCAGACTCCCCACTTAGGTGAGCAGTTGCTGCCACCAGGACATGTCACAACATCTCATAATTAATACTCCACAAGTGAATTTTCTTTCCATTTTCATGGTGAGGTGGGAGTGGGAATTGTCCCTCTATTTTACCAGCAGAGAATGTACATGAATGGATATCTGACCCATGACTTGCCTTGTGGACTATGAATCTCCACTACCTGCTCTGAAGATTAGACTACACCTGACCACACTGTTTCCTTATGATTGGTTGTGGTGTTTAACAAGCCTCAGTTTCTACGTCATGTTTCTTCAAGCTGTTAATTTTCAATCCCCTTTGTTATGGTTTGTGTTATCCCCAGCACTACCACTTACTCCCTAGAAGACACTTTCCATTCAAGGGTTTCTTACACATCAGTAATTAGCAGAGGTGCATTCTATCCTGCATTCTGGTCCTAGCTCAAAAAAAGGAAGCCAAGTTGTGACAAACATTAATTTTGCTAATTGGTTTACAATGTACCATAACTCTGATCAATAATCTGTTTTTTCATGGTACTATTAACTAGTTTTTCATAAAATATCACCACTAGCTTATAATTAATATCTACAGTGATAGATTCTTTTTTAATAAAAGAAGATTATTAATTTGCTGTAAAAATAAATGCATTCATTTCTTTTTGTACATTTTTCGCCAGTTTTTTTGTTTGCTTCATTAACTCGTTATACAATATTGTCATATTTTATCATTCTCAAAAACAAGTACTGCAGCAGACAGTGAACAGAGGCACTGGTATTAATGTAACCCATTATGGACAAGGAGCACCTCTAATTAAAATATAAGAGTCACAACAGGACAACTATGGCTTAATGACAGAATAAACTCATTATATGGGGTCTAGGACCAACACAGAAACAAGAGCTAATAAATGTATTGTTAGTACAAGGAATTTCAGTATCTTTAGCAGATGCTAAAGATTAAATTTCTGTAATTAGTTAAATTTATGAGAAAACACATGGCACCATAACTCTTTCATCACTTTCTGACACACAAAATGTCAGGGTTTAATTCTTGATATAGAAAGACAGCTTAAAGCATGGCCAGCACCAGAGAGACATTTGATAATGGTAGATATATTAAACAAACCTATACTCTTCTAGGCCAAATACAAACTACATAAAATACATATCAAAAGTGAATATTATACACATGAAAACAGTTGACTAATGGATTATCCCAAGAATAGTTATCCGTAATGTATGTGGTATCAGGCATGTGATGAACCAAATCAAAAGGTAATATGCCATTAAATAATATATTGCTTACTTCAATGATGAGGAGCTCATCGCTTCACAGTATTCCCTGTCTTCACGTTCTTCGCGTTCTTCGCGTTCTTCGCTGTCTTCGCGTTCTTCACGTTCTTCGCGTTCTTGGGTCTTCTTCTTTCATTACTGTAAATGTGATCCTGGAAGCATTCTATAAGAGAACAAAACTTTCAGATATCATACAGCTTCAAGAAAAAAAAACATATTTACACAGAATTATATACAACTAATGTTGATAGTAGATGCAATCTTATTTTTATTTTTTTTGCCTTTCACATCTTCCCTTGGTAATACAGTGAGGGAAAAAAGTATTTGGTCCCCTGCTGATTTTGAATGTTTGCCCACTGACAAAGAAATGATCAGTCTATAATTTTAATGGTAGGTGTATTTTAACAGTGAGAGACAGAATAACAAAAAAAAATCCAGAAAAACAAATGTCAAAAAAGTTATTGATTTGCATGTCAATGAGTGAAATAAGTATTTGACCCCTTAGACTTAGTACTTGGTGGCAAAAACCTTGTTGGCAATCACATAGGTCAGATGTTTCTTCTGGTTGCCCACCAGGTTTGCACACAGCATTCATGCTGGAATACCCACCCACAACCCAGGGAAGGAGGTTCTCACCCAAGATTTGACAGTACATGGCCCCGACCATCGTCCCTGTTATGCGGTGCAGTTGTCCTGTGCCTTTAGCAGAAAAACACCCCCAAAGCATAATGTTTCCACCTCCTTGTTTGATGGTGGGGATGGTGTTCTTGGGGTCATAGGCAGCATTCCTCCTCCTCCAAACTTGATGCGTTGAGTTAATGCCAAATAGCTCAATTTTGGTTTCATCTAACCACAACACTTTCAGACAGTTCTCCTCTGAATCATTCAGACATTCATTGGTAAACTTTAATATGGTACATATGGAATAGGGATCCAGCTTGTATCACTAAAACATAAATAAAAAATACAACATAGGCGTAATACTGTTGTGGTCTTATTAATTGCCCAATGGTTCAAGGTTACACTCACAGATTTGTTGTATATAGTAAGCCTTCAGGTTGCCACCCCTATAGGTAAGGGGGTAGGTAACGCCAATCTGGAGACCAAGAAGTTCACACTCTCCCAATGGTTGAAAGTAGAAAACAATGGATTTATTGGCATATAGTAAAATTAAATTAAAATATGTTATTTTAATTTTACTATATGCCAATAAATCCATTGTTTTCTACTTTCAACCATTGGGAGAGTGTGACCTTCTTGATCTCCAGATTGGCGTTACTACAAATGAACAGGACCTACCTCCCTACCTATAGGGGTGGCAACCTGAAGGCTTACTATATACAACAAATCTGTGAGTGTAACCTTGAACCATTGGGCAATTAATAAGACCACAACAGTATTACGCTATGTTGTATTTTTTATTTATGTTTTAGTGATACAAGCTGGATCCCTATTCCATATGTACCATATTATACTTTTTATATAGTTACCATTTTGGGAGGTAACTGAAGGGAAGCAAGTATCCAAAGTTAAGTTTAACTTTTTATTCCACGGGTGATTTGGTGGAAGCTATTTTGTATTGGTAAACTTTAGCCTGTACATGTGCTTTCTTGAGCACGGGAACCTTACAAGCGCTGCAGTATTTCAATCCATCATGGCGTAGTGTGTTACCAATTGTTTTCTTATTGAGTATGGTCCCAGCTATCTTGAGATCATTAACAAGATCCTCCTGTGTAGTTACGGGTGTTTCCTCACGTTCTAATGATCATTGAAACTCCATGCGGTGAGATCTTGCATGGTGCACCAGATCAAAGGAGACTGACAGTTATTTTGTGTTTCTTCCATTTGCGAATAATCACACCAACTGTTGTTACATTCTCACCAAGCTGCTTGGCGATGGTCTTGTAGCCCACTCCAGCCTTGTGTAGGTCTACAATCTTGTCCCTGACATCCTTGGACAGCTCTTCAGTCTTGGCCATGGTGGGGAGTTTGGAATGTGATTGATTGATTGATTCTGTGGACAGGTGTCTTTTTTTATACAGGTAACGAGCTGAGATTAGGAGACCTCCCTTTAAGAGTTTCTAATCTCAGCTTGTTACCTGTATAAAAGAAACCTGGGAGCATAATATCTTGCTGATTTATAGGGGATCAAATACTTATTTCACTTATTGACATGCAAATCAACTTTTTTGATATGCATTTCTCTGGATTTTTTTTTTTTTTGTTATTCTGTCTCTCATTCTTAAAATACAAACATACACAAGACAGGATAAATTATGGGAACAGGATAAGATACAGCACAAATACTTGTGTCTATCCTGTTCCAATTACCTTCCACCGATGAGAGACTCCAGGGGTCTCTTAGGGCATAACCCTAAGTAGATTTAATGAGAAAAAATAGTGCAAAAGCATGTACAATGGTTCACCTAAAGTGAGACCTGTGTACACCCTGGATATATTAGAAACAGTTATTCATTGTAGATGTATTAAAATTGTCAAACTTGTAACAGAATAAGTAATAATAAGAGATCCTGCAATAAAACACAAAATAGATTTAAAGACAGTTTTATAAAGCTAACTCCTATGTCTGAATAAGGTTGAATCAAGGTTGAAAGATAAAGCTAACAGTGAGCTCCACCAAGCTATACTGATATAAATATTTATAAAAAGAGACTTTATGCAAAATCGCCCTAAAAGGAAAATGTACCAGGAAATACCAGTAGTTAGTGGATGTGCTTAAGAATAGAGGTTAAATACCAAGTAACCAATTTAGTATTAGAAGTATGAGGAGAGAGAGAGAATACAAATTATATTGTCTGTAAATAGCAGGCAAGGATTTACATTTTTTAATTTAAAAAAGCCTCTCTCCATTCAAAACTAACGAGACAGGTATAAGGTGTACAGTGTGGCAGAAATTGTATCACAAAACAGAGAATAATAAAAATAAAATAAAGCAGTTTTTCTTGCAAAAACTTTGTCTAATCAGCATTGGAATAACAAGTGTTTAAGGCATACTAGTAATATCTCAATTGATATTTCTTATTTTATAGGGAAAAGATACACCTTAGCAGCTGTGTCAGAAATAAAAACAAAAAACAAAATACAAGATGTCTGCCCCATCACTATTAATTAATCAATGTTTAAACATATTCCAGAACACTTCCAATATGTTAATTCAAGAAGAATAGAGAAAGACCACACACGCCTTACAATTAATCCTTTCTGATTTTGTGACAATCATTCCATTTAATTTACAATTACTTTCACAAAAACAAAAAATATTCTGCATGAGATTTTATGAGATTTTAAATTAAGATAAAAACCTTGTTAGCTTAATTTTAGGGGAAAACAGTAATTCTGTCTATAGTTTGCACCTTGGTTTCTCTGTGGTAAAGATCAACCTCTGAATGTTCTTCAAACCACATTGAGCGATGAACACTGGGGCTTCCACCCACGAGAACATCTTGAAAAACATGTCGTTTGCTGAAGTTGGTGGTCTCAGATCCTCTGTGATACACATCAGTGTTTTGAAGTGCATTACTTTTTAATAAGTGCTAACTGTGTCCTTATATTTTTATTTTTAACGTTTTATTAATGCAATACCTTTGGCATTCCATTTACTATGGGCCCATGCAGTCCAGATGTGAAAATATATATTTTGCACTTAGGGTCTAGAGCAGGTTGAAACAACTTGCACATAAAAATCTTAATAGTAATATCAAAATATTTAACCAGGGAATGTACAATCAGCTATCTAGAACTTTCCAAACATGTATTGGGGGTCTAGATCAGGAGTGTCACACGTATTTCTTCTGGAGGGCCAAATTCAATAGGTATGGAACTTAGGGTGAATGCATAAAATTTATAACTACACATACGCGCAAACAAGAAAAGCAGTGCACAAAGAACAGCTGCACACAATGTCATAAACGCAATGTATTACTATCTTGCAACAATAAGTGTGTATTTGTGTGTAGTATTGATGTTTGAATGCATTTGTTTGTTTGCATCCACTGTTGTCATTTGAATGCAGGGCAGTGTTTGTGTGTATTGTGTGTGTTTGAGTGCAACAGTGTATTTTTTGCATAGTGTTGGTGTTTCAATGCAGAAGTGATGCCTGAATTCACAGGCACATTTGTGTGCTGTGTTGGTGCTTGAATGGAGTGGCGTATTTGTGAGCAGTGTTGTCATTTGAATGCTTGGATGTATGCCCTGCCACACACAGATATACACACACTGACACACAGACACAGATATGCACACAAACTCAGGTACACATAGATACACTGGTACACATACACACTTAAATGTATACAGATGTATACATGCACAAACTGACACAGATATGTGCACACAATGATACACAGAAACACAGGTACACATACACACTGACATACATACTGATACACACACTGACACACTTATGCATACACTTAGATACACAAAGACACAGGTACACATGTTGTGCTGAGCTGTCAGTACAGCCAACCGCTGAGCTCTCCCTCCAGCGCTATTTTGCGAAGATCTCAAGTAATGCACTATCAACTACAAACACACAAAGCAGCACTCTGTTGTCATGGAGAAATTGTAGATGTTTTGCACTTTTGCAATAGTTCCATTCTGATAGCTTTAGAAAGATTTTTGTGCAACAGGTTCAGATCCAATCAAATTAGACTATTTTGTCTATGACAAATTACTTTTGTTTGTTGTTTGTTTGCTTTTCCACTGTTAGTACATAGCTGAGTTTATCGCCTCTCTGTTTGATTTTAGCTTTCTCTACCGATAATAGTCTCTTGTGAAAATATTTGGATAGCAGTATTAGGTGAAAGTAAATTCTTGCATTGTCACAGAGGTGTTGTGAATCAATTTAAAGACACATGAACATGATCATATTTTAGTTTATTTAATGGCTTGCACATTGAGCAAGTTGGAAAAAAGGTCCAAGAAGACCATGTGTTCATCTGCACATCAAACAATGGGCCACTGGATAGAAAATATCAATTGTAAGCTACGTATTTACATATTATGGAAGAATGGATGTACCTGTTCTACTAGGTATAAAAATAATGGCTTTGTGTATTCAGACATTTTTATACTGCTTAACCTGTTCTGATTTTTTTTTTTTTACATGCTAGAATTGTTTTGCAGGATTAAACACTTTCCAAATGACGAACTGTCATACCATCCTGACAGTATGGGTATGGCATGATAGCATGGTGTGACATGCCAGTTCTTTACTTGCATATTTAAGTGCAACATGATTAACAAGATCAACTGGTAGCGCACAGCACATTTAATGAATTCCTCTGTCTCTGTCTGTCCATCTGTCAATGCACTAAACACGATCCACACATATATTCTGGCTCACAAACATGACATCCATTTTATGAAATAATTCTTACATATATATGTTTTTATCTTAAATTCAAATTTCTATTTATAATAAGGAACATAAAAATACCTCTTCTTCTTTTCCTCTTGCGGTATAAGCAGTACACTAATATCAAAACAGGAATGATGATAGCGGAGATCGGCGTTAGGTACCATTTGTATTTGTCAAGCCAATTTGAAAATCCTGAAAAGACAGCTGAAAATTAACATATTAAAATAAGATAGTATGCATTAATAATAATATCATTGTTATAGGACTATTCAGCTAACATAGCACTGAACTCAGCATGGATTCTCATGGTGAGAACACTTATTTATTTTAATATATATATGTATATATATATATATATATATTAAAATATACTGCTACAATCTCTACTTGAACACAATATATATGTATATATATATATATGTTACAGTTAGAGTGCAGAAATCAGTTAATGTGCACATTACCTAGTTAATCTGCCGATTAACTAGGGCGATCAGTTAAAGTGCAGAAAATGATTTTGTTTCTCAAATATTTCTCACATTACCTAGGTAATCTGCACATTACCTACTAGGCACTTGTTAAAGTGCAACAAAAATCATTCTGTCCTCCATCACTTGAATAAAAAAGAGGATCTGCTGTACTGGGGGATGGGATCTTTAAAAGGTTGGAGGATATTTAAAACTAGTGGTGGTAGTGGTGGGTGTGACACAAAAGTCTACAAAACAAAGACAGAGTAGAAAGAAGATGGGATTTAGTTCACAACAAGGGGTGGAATTGGGGGGAATGGTAAGATCGGAAGAGAGGAGGTATATAATAAAAATGTGCACGCAGTACCAGTGGCTTGTGACAATATTACATTTATGCTTACTAATGCAAGGAGCCTCAATAACAAAATGGGTGAACTATAGGCAATAGCATTCACTAAGCAATATGAGATAATAAATATTACTGAAACATTGTGAGATGAGCCACATAAAATTGGGTAATTAAATGTTTCCATGTCATTCATTAAGGATGAAAAAAAATGGAAAGGTAGAGGGGTATGTATGTATTTATGTCAACCACGAGATAAACCAAATAGTAAGCAAGTGATATGTGACAAGGAAAACTGAAAAATGTGGAAGCCTTAATGGGTAGATATCTGCTTAGGCAAAAGAGGGGAAATCAATTATAAGCTGGAAAATGCTATAAACCCCCTAATATTAATATTGATTAGAGCAAACAGCTGTTAGAGCAAATTGGGAAAGTTACACATTTAGGATAGAGGGAACAGTTGATCAGGTTTTTAAACCTGTTAAATGACACCTTCATGTCACAATTGGTAGAAGCACCAACTAGAAAGGATGCTTGTCTGTTTCTGGTTATAACAAACAATGTTGATCTTTTGTCAAACATTCAGATAAGGGAATAATTGGGAAATGCTGACCGCAATGTGATGTCTTGAAATAAAGAAAGCAAATCCACATGGGGTATACTAAAACATATTTTATAGTAAGGGGAATTTTAACTCATTAACTGGCACAAACTCTTTTTGTGCTGCAAAAAAACATATACAAATTGTGATTGGATAACTTAAGACAAAGCATTGCAGAAAGCTAATGCAAACAATGGCCAAATGGTATTCATCCATGAGTAGTTAATGAGCTAAGTGTGGACATAACAGAACCTTTGTTTTTAATCTTTCATAACTCCTTTTTCAGGAATCATAACAGATGTTTCAAGAAATGCATATGTGGTACTTATATTCAAAAAGAGTTCAATATGTCTGCTTAGAAATTACAGACCTGTGAGCTCAAAATGAAATCCCAAAGATTAGTGGCATTAAATAGTACAGGGAAAAAAGAAAGAAAAATATTTCCTGTTTAAATCTCCTTATATGTGCATAATGAATACATGAATGTAAAATCTTACAAAGTCTAAGGAACATATAAAAATCCATAAAAATAACAAGAAGATTTAAAGGGGAAGTATTATTTTTCCTCTACTATTTTAAACCACAATGCTTTGGTGGGTTATCTATAGCATTATGCACACTTTATGTTTTGGTTTATTTGTACTTTCTGGATGTCTAAGACACATGCTATTTAGAGCAGCACATGCACTTTTGATGTTTAAGCTAAATAATTAATCATTGAAGTGCCTTAATACATTTATTTTTGTTATTCTTAAAAGGACACTCCATTGCCCAAATACAATGGCTGTCTAATTAAGGACTTCACAATTCAGTTCAATGAGACGTCTTTGTAAGGCAGATGCTCTGGGCAATTGTCTGCATCTCAAATTTAGCTCCAATGAGCTAACCAAACCAGGAAGTAACAGGACTTGTCTAATTGACACCGATTGTAACAACATCCTTTTATAAATGTGCCAATTTCTTTTAAAATCTGCACTTTCTGAAAAAGAAAAAAAAAGGACACACTCTCTCTACACATAAAGCACTCCAGGTGTGCATTGTGTTGCTTTAACTTCTGTGGCTGAAAAAGTATTTGTAGGGTAACTAACAATAAATATTCAGGAATTCATTGGAAACACCAATGTCATTAGCAGCAATCAGCATGGTTAATCACATTATACAAAGAAGAAAGTAAGAGTATAGATCTGGATGTTGCAGTGGATGTGATCTGCTTGGGAATTTTTCAAGCTTGACAAAAGTGGAAAGTGGTCTGCTTCCAGCATCTGTTCTGAGACCACTTCTATTCAGCCAATAAATAAATCATCTTTAAATAATCATTGAAAGTCATGTGGCAGATGGAAGGCAATATAATGAGAGCAGGATATTACTTTGTTGCAGGGGGTTTTAGTTATATTTCGAGACGGGGCACACAAATGCAGATGAAATCTAATATAGATAAATGCTAATTTATGCACTTTGGGGTCAAGAATACACAGGTGATTTACATCCTAATTGGTAGTGAGTTAAGGAAACTACATATGAGGAGGATTTTGGAATAATTATAGACAACAAACTGGACAACAATATCTAAGGCTAGTAAGGTACTGTCATGCAGAAAAAGTGACATTAAGTCTTTAGACTAACATACAATCATGTCGCTTTATAAATGACCACAACTTGAACATTGTAATTTTTAGCACTTTTGGAAGGATCTCATGGCACAAGAAAAATTGAAGAGGTGGGCTAAAAAAAAATTCTAAGGGGAATGTAAGGTTTTTATTAAGAAGAAAGACTAACACATTTAAAGCTCTTCAGTTTGGAAAAATGGCACATCACAGGGGATATCATACAAAAATATTTGGGGTCAATACAAATCTTTGTCTGGAAATCTTTTCATAAATAGGACTGTACATTGGACACAAGGTCACCCATGTAGACTGGAAGGAAGGAGATTTAGCATAAGGCAAAGGAAAGGGTTCTTTGCAGTAACAACAATTGGGATGTGGAATTCTCTATTTGAGTCTGTACAGATTTTTTAAAAGCAACTAGAAGTTGGCAAAAACATAATATTCAGTAATATCGTTTTTAATTAGTGGGATGTAGCATATTGATCCAAGGAGAGATCTAACTGCCATTCTGGGGTCAAGAATGGCAGTCAGAGTTAGCTGCCTAACTCACCTAATTAGACAATCGCCTCTGCTGGGCACATACTAAGTATTAAAAAAGATGCAGGGATGATGCTTTGCATCTGTATTGACACAGAAATGTGTTCAAATTCATGGCTGAACAACACCTAGACTACTCAGGCCATGACACATTGTGTGTTCACTATGCCTGAGCGTGTATATAAAAGTGTGTATCATTGTGCGTATTTTATGTGTAGCATATCTCCAACTTGGATCTTTAGGAAGTCAGGACATGGGGTGGGACCATGATGGTGTGCCATCAGTGACGCAATCCACAACACTAGTGATTCCCACAATGGTTGGGTCTGCCCAGAAAAGGGCAGGGGCATCTAAAAAAGAGGCGGGCTCGTCCGCTAATAATCTGCCTGGTTGGGCCCCAGCTATCAGTACCATGCAGGGAGCACTGCTGTGCTGCGCAGGGACAGTTCCCAGATGTCCTCGGATGCGGGATTGTCCCGCCAAAAGCAGGACAGCTGGGAGGCATGGTATTCTGTGCCTGAGTAGAGAGTGAGTGTGTCATCGTGTGTATAAAGCAAAATGTCTTTCTGCCATGTATAAAAGCAGGATGATATTTTTGCACTATTTTTCTCTTCCTGCTCTCCCACTGCAGTTGCTGGATTTCACTGTGTTCAGTAACCTTAAGTTGGATTGCCATAATTAGGGACTTATCTATTAAGCAAATAAAAGAGCAAAATAATGAAAATGAAAGCTACTACTAAACACAAAAGCTCCCTATTTTGATTAAAACAGAGAATATGAGAATTCTGATAATGGACAAATGCTTAGAGAAACATTTCGGTTAATTCCCACTCAGGTCTCTAAAATGTTTTTGCTCACTTTTGCCATTACCAAGACATTCTATTCTATTTGTGTATCAGACAGTTCCCATACGTAGGGGCAGTCCAGAACCAAATTGCCTGCAAGTTCCCTCTATATGAGAAATACAGGAACACTGGATGATAGTTTTGGCCTTCATTGGGTCTTCTCAGCAATGTGTAGCAGATACTACTCTAGACACAGTGAGCACGGGGTCCACATCTAAATCAAACTTTTAGCTTAGGGAGAGCCCAAGCAAATGCAGCAAAAACAGAGAATATGAGAATTCTGAGAACAGACAAAAGTTTAGAGGAACTCAGTGGCTTGCCCTTTGGTTAGTTCCAACTCAGGTCTCAAAAAAGTATTTGCTCACTTGTGAAGAGAAGACGTATATAATTTGCATATCAGACTGATCCTGCCTATAAGGGCAGTCCAGAACCAAAATGCCGCAAGTTCCCTCTGCATGAGAGATACAGCAACACTGGAGGAAGGCAAGCTCCTGAGTTTCTTTAAGCTTTTGTCCATTCTCCGAGTTCTCATAATGGCTGTTTTTGTTGCAATGCAATTTGCTAGGGCTCCCACTAACCAAAAAGGGTAATCTAGATGTGGAACCTGTGCTCACTGTGCCTTGCTAAAGAGCCCCAAACAAACACAAACAGAGAATATGCACACACTCTTTTTTACTTTGGTATTTCTAACATAGTACTGTATTGTAAAAATATTTTATGCATTTTGATAAAATATTCTCCATTCTATAGAGAATTTGTGTAAGAAACTCTGAAACTCTCCCCTATATATTCAAGTTACAATATTGGTTTCATGGAAGTAATGTTATAATTTTAAAGTCTTTATGTATTCATTCATACCACAGTTATCCTTACCAGTATTGTCAGTATTGTTTAATTTATTGATACCTAATTCGGTGCCATTTCCTCTTCCATGCTGAAGTCTTGGTATTTCAATATTGATCTCACAGAAGTAAATTCCTTCATCTCTCACTGTGACAGAGTTAATCCGTAGCTCTGCTTTACCGTTAGATAAATTATAAGTACTCCTATTGTGATTCCTTTGTGTAACGTTGCGTGTATCATTTCCTTTCCATAGAACAGATGCTAAAAGTGTTTTATTTTCCTCTTCTGTTGATGAAATGTTAGATATTCTCCATTCCACTCTGATCTGCTTCGCTCTATGGTCAGGATCCCAGGTACAATTTATAACCGCGCTCTCTCCTTCCAGTAACACTAAACGCTTTGGCGACTGAATTACATTTAGAGCATCACAAGAAAATACTGTCAAAACAAAAATACATCTATAATTAGAACAAATGTTACAACATAAATACAATTATTTTTAAATACCATCTTGTATTAAACATTGTGAGAAAATAAGAAGATATTATATTAACCAAGTGCAAACATTTTTAAAATATTTGCAGTGGACAATGTATACCCCAGTTTGTGGCCCACCATCAGGTCCAGATTAACATAGGGGCTGATGGAGCTGCAGCTCCATGCCCATGGAAAAGGCCCACTGATTTTAATAAAATATATAGGTTTTTTTTTACTACTCTTCACATGCTCTTGCTTAATTACAGAAACGTAAGAGGGATGTAGGGGAACAAAACTAGTGTGGACTGGCTGACAATAAAATTAGTTAAGGTAAAGCTGACTTTGCTCACTATGCAAATGCTCTTGCTGCTTCAGTCTCTCTAACACTATGCCATGTTCCCTTTCTTCTACATTCGCTACATACACTTTTTTTCTCTGTCCCAGACTATATAACAGGAGCTTCTGTCTGCTAGTAAGAAGGTTAGGAGAGGAGTGGACCAGCGAGTGCTAGGGGACAGTCCTTAGAAAACGTAGAGCTAGCGCATCATTAGACATATTTATGCCAAGCTCAGGGTGCTGTCTGCATGGTATGCTCTTTGTTTGCCAGCATGCATGATTGGCAGGCAGCCTGTCATGCATTTACACCAGGCTGACCTTCTAATCTTCAGGCAGACATGTCCGCTTTTTGGGCATGTTCACCCCCTTGGACGGTTTTGGTTACGTGTTTGGTTACGTTACCCCACCCACTGACATCCTGCTTCACCAGACACTGCTGTTAGGGAGTTTGGATTTACATGAAAGAGGAAAGTGAGACATTAGCATAGGGCATGTGTTTTCTTATAGCTTCATCCTGTGAGCTTCCCTCCAGCACCTCCTCCGCTAGATACATGATACTTGGGAAGTTTAGTTTTAGTGTTTTCTGTCAATAAGATTCTGTAATTAGGCCATCATAATTGTCAGCACCAGGCCCAATGTGCTCTTAATCTGGCTCTGCCCACTATTAAAGATTGTCCCTTATATATAAGTTCCCTGACAGGTAATGCTCAGAGGTAGAAAAGTGACATATATTCTTTATTTTTGGCCCCCAGTCCCAAACATGTATAACAAATTGAAACAGAGGGGTATGGATTCTATGGGGTCACATTAGCCCTACATACATATGCACCAAAAATTATACACAGCTTGCTCTCCATTGTGTACAAGGAAAACCAGAGGAATACATCCAAATACTCAGACACTGCTTCCATATTCAGACTGTTCCAAAATATATACTTATGATAATTTGATAGGTAGATATAATAAATGGAAGCTATGTTGTAAAAGTGTTTACTCACTTGCTATGCAAAATAACAGAGGAGAAGGAGCCCAACAATTAACTCCCAACCCAGATAAAATGTATCAATTAATAACTCCTACGGGAAATGTATGTCAATAGAAGCATAGGTGTATTGTGTCTTTGTCTTTTTACTTGTACCAATAGATCCCATGGACAGTGCTATGGAATGTGTTGGCACTTTATAAATAAAGTAATAACATAATAAAGTTTCTCTACATTCAGCATTATGCATATAGACATTGTGTAACATATTCCTCCTCACCTTGCGTATTTGCGCCCAGCGGCCGTGCGTCTGTATAAATGACTCTTGCAACATGTTTGTGGATGCAGGCTTTGTTTGACTTCCCTGTATTCTGGTATCCCTGATTTCTGGCTTTCACTTATCCTTGTGTCCCATTCTGTGCCCCCCAACCTCGGCAAGTATCCTGACTATTCTTTGGTACGTTAAGTCTGACCATTCTTAGGCCCGGTAAGATGTTACCTTTTAGTCCTAGGTGTGATACAGTTCTACATGCTGGATAGTGATGTCCCGAGTGGTTCGTCGAACAGTTCGCGAACGGTTCGCCGCGAACGTTTCGCCGAGGACTCATCATTGAGTAAACTTTTACCCTGTACCTCACAGTCAGCAGACACATTCCAGCCAATCAGCAGCAGACCCTCCCACCTCCTGGACAGCATCCATTTTACATTTATTGTGAAGCTGCATTCTTAGTGAGCTGTCCAGGAGGTGGAAGGGTCTGGGAGGGAGGGTCTGCTGCTGATTGGCTGGAACGTGTCTGCTGACTGTGAGGTACAGGGTCAAAGTTTACTCAATGATGAGTCCGCGGCGAACCGTTCAGGACATCACTAATGCTGGATCAATCAGTAATCCTGACACATTGTTTAAAACTTTTACTAATTTGCACATCCAAGGGCTGTTACTGGATTCCAGAAACACATGGGGCTTGGGGCAAAAGGAAACTCCATGCCCCTACTCCAAGGCTCCACCCTAGGAGCCATATAACTGTTTCTCTATACAAACATTGACCACTAACTGAGCCAGGATGTCAAAGAAAAAAAGTAGTCAGAGTGTATGTCCAGGTGTTCAATGCAATCCTTCCTAGCTACATTACTTAAGCAATGGTGAAAGGGTAGAGAAATGATACAGCACAGTCCATATGCCCAGCTCTCCACCAATGACTAACACCTGAGGGGTAAGGGGCAATGCTAGTCCCTTAGTAGCCTGGAGAACTATACTAGCCTGGAGAACTATACTAGTGGTCTTTTCTATATCAGCTGATTGTTTAAGAATCAGTTGCCTGATGTAAGAATGATATTAAAAGAAAACAATAATATTTAGCTGCCCCTCCATCATGTCTAGACACCTAGACTAAAGAACCCAACATTTAGGGCTTCATCCTTCAAAGACCTCCACTAACAACACACATGGTACATCCTCTGGTGAAAAGATACTAATAAAATTCATTGTGGACAGTCTAATCATATACAGACAGCAGTTTTACAAGCTCAACAATTACATAAAGTCGCTTACAAATACCAATTAGCAAGACTGAATGTAGTTTTTATTCAGTAATAGAGAGAGGGCACATAGTGGCTGGATGCAAGGTGTTAGCTATGACAGCATACACTGAGAGGGACATCCAAGTTGCTGGGGTTGTGTACCGAAACATCCGCACAGTATATGGGCTGGATCTGCCAAATGCAGGTGTGCACTAATGTGCATTCTCTAGAGAAGTAGAAATGTTCTTCAGCAAACAATTTACAAATAAAATAAAATTGCTCTAAAACAATATTAACCAAGAGTCCAGAATAAACTCTGCTACGGCAAATGATTGGGCTCACTAGAACAAACCTCAAGGCGTGAATGTTTATCCTCCAATATGATGGAATATTCTGCAACCCATTAATGTGAGGAACAGCCATTATACAAAAATAAAATACAGCTATGTATAGATAAAAAATATACGTTAAAATGGTGCTGTTTGAGCATAGACTTTTATAAAACTTTTTTGTTCTCTTGAAATTTCATGTAGTTAACACACTATAAGTGTTGTACACTTTTTAATCATTATTTCCTTTTTAAAACAAAGTGAATTGATGATTTCAAAATTAGATTTTTTCTTGGATCAACACCCTGGTCCTATACATATCAATTATATCCTTTAACATTCTGTTTTGTTTTATTAAAAAATCTCCATGTCTTTTTCTTAAGAAATATATTTTGCTGTAAACGAAAATGCCCTTCTTCCAGTCTCAATAGGTGACCTCTTGTCTTTTGTATATTCCTGCTAATGAACATGTTAGTGGTTTGTACTGATTCTGTATATATTTGTATATGTTATCATATCAGATTTTTTTTTCTTAAGAAAAATAAATGCAGTTTTTCTAACATTTCTCCATTAATAACGTCTTCTGTCCCCCTTTTCATTTTATTGTCCATGATTTTGTAATACCATTCTTTACAACTGGTGCCCACAATTGCAAAGCATGTACAAGGTAGGGTTTTACCACTGACTTATAAAGAGGCAAAATTCAATCTTTGTCATGTGAATCGTTACCCCATTTTATACATGACAGCACCTTACTATCCTTTGCAACGGCAGACCGGCATTGCATTATGTTGCTTAGTTTGCTATCTTTAAGTTCCCCTATGTCCTTTTCATTTAATGTTATCCCTAATGTAACCCCATTTAATGTACACATTGCTTGTGGATTCTTTTTCCAAAATGCATAACTTTACATTTGTCTGTATTGACTATTTTCTGTCTCTTGCCTGTCCAGACCCTCCTATTTATTGAAATCCCTCTGTAGAGAAGTTATATCATTTTCAGACTGAGTTTGTGTCATCTGCAAACAGTGACACATGACTTTCAATGTCCACTTCAATATAATTTATAATCAGATTAAAGAGAAATGGACCCAGGGAAAGAACCCTGTGGCACACCACACTTCACATTTGTCCAACTTGAAAACTTGAAATGTTTCCATTCACAACTACTCTCTGCACTCTAGTCAATGGTTTATCAAGATTTTCGATCTAAGCCGACTGAATTCAGTAACATTATGTGTGATACTGTACCATGTTCATATAAATTCTAATTGCAGACTAACTTAAATGACTAATTGTAAGTTAAAAATTATCCTAAAGAAAAAAGATTTATAAGATTGTGAATTGTACAAATTAATGTATTATTGTACGCATTCATAGGAAACATGTATACACACATTCCTATTTCTAAATGCAATATTATGTCTGATACATAACGATACTTATACGGTGCTTTTTTGTTTTCTCCTTTTGTAACTCAGTGTGTGAATAGTAGTGTGCTTTCCCTGGGTACATCATCTGTACTAATATATTCCTATAAAATTGAACTATAAATAAATTAGTAAATATATAAAACACTACAAAGTGTTCGCACACATACAAAATATAACATTTCTGTAGCATAAACTTGTTTCTTTTTGTTCTATGTTGTGGAGTACATATCCAAAAAAATATATATATATACCAAATACACAATAATACACAATAATACACAATAATACACAATAATACACAATACGTGACATTTTTCTCTGGGCTCCCCACACTGTTGCAATCTAACACTGTAACAAGAAAATGATTCAGGCATATAAAACAAATAAAACATACTCACTTTGATGGCAGAGCTGTAAAATATAAACAACAAAAAGTCGTTTTACCATTTTGTGAGAACATTAGTTTAAGTCTGCGGCAGGGAGAATTATGAATGTTCAGACATAACGTGTGAGGATGTGGCTTTATAGTGTGTGAACCTTCTTCCTCCTTCTCAATGTATGAAGTGGCAGATGTATGTAACTAATGAACGAATCACAGGGAGGGCTCAAATATCACCTTAAAATAATATAAATCCTGTAATAAAAAATCCTTTAAAAAAAATCTGTTCTGCAGTGTGCCTGTCATAACGTGAACGTGTACCTCTTAAAATATTTTCACTACTTGGAAAGAGAGCATTAAAGGAACAACATAGTGTCTCTCTGCCCCCTCTGCACCCCCAGTGACCACCCAGGTGGCAAATAAAGTGTTAGTATTGCTTTTTTCCCTTACTTGATTCAGGCGCCAATGTCCCTGAGTGCTGGATCAGGCTCCTCCTCCGCCGACATCACTGCGATTCAGAAAACTAATGCCATTAAGTATATCTTTCCCCATAGAGGATTTTCCAGATGCAGGACGTCCAGCTTTGTTTCACAGAGTTAAAATCTGTGACACTGCAGGAAGCGCCTCTAGTGGCTGTCTGGTAAACAGCCACTAGAGAACGGCTTAACGTGCAATGTAAACATTGCAGTTTCTCTAAAACGGTAATGGTTTACATTGCAGAGCTAAAGGAACAGTGAGATGAAGTGGTTTGGGTGCCTATAGTGTCCCTTTAAATATAGTCCTATACACTATTACTTTATGGATTCAATATGCTGCGCTTATACAACTTGCATTATTAGCTATCAAAGGAAAACTGCTAAGCCTTTATATTACGGTAACATGCTAACGCATAACTTGCATGTACAGTTACACAGGTTGAAAGAAGACGCCAGTTCAAGCTTTCTCACAACTTTCTCCCTGCTACCGATCGAAAAGAAAGCCAAGACTAAACATTTTTCCAGTTGTATATCTACTATTTTGTGAGAACATTAGTTTAACATTTCTGTAGCATAAACTTGTTTCTTTTTGTTCTATGTTGTGGAGTACATATCCAAAAATATATATATACCAAATACACTGAAAGCAAAATTAGTATTAGATTTCTCCTTCGGTCACAAAGTTCCTTAATAGTGACAATATTAACTATTAAAGCCTTGATATTATACTAAATATGAACACAACACTATTAGAGATTATTACTTTAATTTGCTAGTTAAATTCTTAATTATGCAAAGCAAATTAAATGTCTCCTGACTTTAATATTAAGCCCTGCACTCAAACTCCCACTGCTCCTGGGCAGCAGGTGTACTTGTACTTGAATGGCCATTGGAGTGATACTAAAAACCTCCAGTTATTTAAATGTGCATAGGGATTTGGGATAGTGCGCAGGTAAAGTTTTGGTTTTTTTTATATTTAGTTTTTATTGAAGGTTTTCAAGGTTATGAATCCAGTACATAGTTGATTCACATAACACACATAACTGAGTATGCAAAAGACAAGAGGTTTGGTTTTAACAGTAGTTAGTAAAGTAACGTAAAGTAACACACTGTTTGCGTCTGTTTAAATGCACACGTTAACATTTCACTCTCATTTCACTTGGTGGTCTATTCTTCCTTCAGTATGATATGTGGTCTCATGCAATATTAACTCAACAAATGTATTTACACAAACAAAGTTTCCGACAACCACGGAAATTCCTATTGAACGCTGTTACCCATGTCGTTTCATGTCAGGGTATGAAAGTCCCTATCGTGCACCAATCCTTCTTTAGTTCCCCTTCCCTCCCCTGTACCACTTATTCCAAACTTCCCATACATCTCTAAGTCTATCTGTGGCCTTAGCGGTCTCAGTGGACATTTTCTCATATATATAGAATTGTTGGACTTTGTCTATTAGTTGTTGTTTATTCGGGCACCTGTGTGATTTCCAATTTAAGGCAATTAGGTGTCTGGCAGCCATGAGGATTATTCCTACTAGTTGGATGTGGATCTGGTGTGTGTTTTCGGGGAATCGCAATAGCAAGCAGGACGTGATGTCCATGGGGAAGTTGGGAATTGCGAGTTCTTTTAGTAGAGTCTGAACATCCCCCCAAAGCGGTTGTATCCCCCACAATTCCACCATACGTGTGGCAGAGTCCCTTCCTCTACCTCGCATCTCCAACATTTGGGTGAGACATCTGGGTATATTTTGTGTAATCTATCGGGGGTCATATACCACCTATAAAGCAATTTGCGGTGCGCTTCAATATGTGAATAGCACTTGGTCCATTTTTTAATCCCATTTAGGGCAATAAGCCACTCCTCTTCTGTTAATGCGGTTCCCCTCTCTGATTCCCAATGTTGTTTGCATGTCAGTGGTTTCTGTGGGGCTAATTCTAGTAATGCCTTATAGCAAAGTGAGAGGGCTTTGGGTTTCATTGGGGCAGTCCAGCATCTGTGAGGTATTAATCTGGCTGCAATCTTAGTGGCAGGTATAGTGGGTGATGCAGTCTGAACGTGGGCTGTAATAGTGTGTTTTAGCTGTAAGTAGGGGAAGATATCCTTTTCTGGGATTCCCCATTTGGCTTGAATATCGGGGAAGTCCATGACTTGTTGACCTTTACACATTTTATGAATTTGGGATATGCCCAAACGCGTCCATCTAGCTAGTGGGATCGTGGGGTTCACCGCTTGCAGTGCGGTTAAGGGAGCTTCTGGATGGAAGAGCTTCTTCCAGCCTAGGGAGGACATGTAGTTATCCCATACTCTGAGTGATGCACTCGTGGTGGGGTATAGCTCTACTTTAGGGCCTCTTAGAGAGTGTGGTGTCCACATGTAATTAGTTAGGGATGTGTGCTGGAGCTGGTCTTGTTCCATATCTACCCACTGTGTTGTTCCTCGTTGGGCGTGTAGGTGTATGTTCGTTGCAAGTAGAGAGGCTTTGTAATAAAGTCCAATGTTAGGTAGTCCTATTCCTCCCATCTTTGTCGTCTGCTGTAAAAGGCCCAGGAGTAGCCTGGGTCTTTTGCCTCCCCAAATGAAGGAGCTACATGTGGCTTGCAGTACTTTAAAAATTACAGTTGGGGCCTCTATTGTGAGCATGCGGAATATATACAGTAACTTCGGTAGGAGCATCATCTTATAAGCATTTACACGGCCTAGCCATGACATTTTTGCGTTCTTCCATTTGTGTAGTTCTGTAATACACATATGTATGAGGGGTTTGTAATTGAGTTTTATGATGTTGCTAATTGGGGTGGCGATCTTAACTCCTAGGTATGTTATGGATGTCGTTCTCCAATCTAGGTCAAAGGAGTTTTTAAGTGCAGTCACGGTCGAGCCTGGCAAATTGATCGGTAAGGCTTGTGTTTTTTCTTTGTTGAGGCGGTAGTAAGAAACTGTACCGTAGTCGGTCAGTAATGTCAGCAGTTGGGGTAATGATTTTTCAGGGTGTGATAGAGAGACAAAGATGTCATCCGCGAACATCGCCAGACAGTATTCCCTGTCTCTCAGTTTGATGCCGGATATGGATTGGTGTTGTCTTATCTTCCAAGCTAATGGTTCTAGGGAAACGATGTATAGTAGGGGGGACAATGGGCATCCCTGGCGTGTCCCATTTGTAATGTGAAAGATTCGCGACAGGAAGCCTCCATGAGAGACTCTAGCGCTGGGTTTCGCGTAGAGCGCCATTATCCCTCTTATAGCCCCTTCGGGGAATTGGTATTTGCGCAGAACCTCTGTCATGTACTGCCAGTTTAGCCTATTGAAGGCCTTTTCAGCGTCTAGCGCTAGGAAAAGACCTTCGAGGCGCCCCTTCTCCATCCCCGCTATGATATTTAGTACTTTCCTCGAGTTGTCGGAGCCCTGTCTACCCCTCACGAATCCCGACTGGTCATTGTGAACTAATTTTTGTAGGAGCGGTGCTAGCCTTTCGCTGAACAGTCTTGCATAGATTTTGGCATCACTATTAAGCAGTGAAATGGGCCTGAAGTTTTTACAATGGTCTTTGCTTTTGCCTGGCTTAGGGAGTGTGGATACGTGTGCCATTGTAACTTCTTCTGGCAATGCTCCTTCCCTCTTGCAATGATTGAATATTGCCTGTAGAGGCTGAATTAGCGTTGGTAGGAAAGTACCGTAATATATATTAGATAGGCCATCAGGACCTGGGGATTTGTGTGGTGGAAGTGTAGAGACCACTGAAGTGATCTCCTCTAATGTGAAAGGCTTATCAAGCTGTTCTGCGTCTGCAGTAGATAGAGTTGGAAGGTCCATTCCCAATAGGAAGGTTTCAATGTCTGCTTTGGAGGGGCAAATGGACTGTTGGTCATCTTTCAGATTGTAAAGTTTTTCATAATAGTGTGCGAATTCGACTACTATTCCTTGTGGGTCTAGGATGGTGGCGCCTTTGGAATTTTTGATGGATGCGATCTTGGAGCTAGCAGCCCTCTGTTTTAATTGGGCGGCCAGCTTGGCTCCAGCTTTATTGCCTGCTGCAAAAAAGCCATGCTTGTACCTATGTGTGAGGAAAGTCGTTTTTTCCAATTCTAGATCCCGTAGTTGTGATTGTAATGATAATAATTTAGTGTGAGTTGTTGCCGTGGGGGAGTGCTTGTTCGCGTGGGTTAGAACGGTTAATTCGGAAAGTATGGCCGTGTATGCTTCGAGCCTCTTTTTTTTTGCAAAGCTAGCATGCTTTATCAAACAGCCTCTTATGAAGGCCTTGTGTGCCAGCCAGATTTGGGGGAGAGGAGAGTCCGGAGTTTTGTTCTCTTTAAAATAAAACTGTAGATCTCGTTCTATTTGTTTAACTATGTCAGGGTCTGTTAGTAGTCGTTCATTTAGTCTCCAGTTGGTCCTTCCTGAGTTTGGGAATTGTTCTCTGAAATGTAACGTAATAGGGGCATGATCGGACCAAGTGATTAATCCTATATCAGTACGTTCAACTTTCATAAGGGAAGTAGAGTGTAATAGGAATCTATCAATTCTTGAGTAGCTATTGTGAGCTGCGGTGTGACATGTATAGTCCCTTTCCGTGGGATGAGTAATTCGCCACGGATCTACGAGGTTGTGTGCATTTAGTTTGTTGCGTATTGCCGTGGTCAGTTTGGATCTGCTCTTTAGTGTTTGTGCGGTCAGGTTCGGGCCTCCCGAAGAGTCTAAGTCGCTATCTAACAAGAAGTTCGTGTCACCCCCAATTATTACATCCCCTAGCGAGTGAGCAGACATCAATCCCATCAAAGCATCGACAAAATCACCTTGGTTAACATTAGGACCATAAACATTAATTATAGTGTATACATTATTATTCAAAGAGCATTGTAGTATAAGATAGCGTCCCTGTTTATCCCCGATTTTGCGTATTAAGGAGAAGGCTACCTCTTTACTGATGAGGATAGATACTCCTCTCTTTTTTGCGGAGTAGCAGGAGTGGAAATCTATAGGATACTGCGGGGAATTAAATTTCGGTCGTTTACTCCACAAGAAATGTGTTTCTTGGTATAGCATTACGTGGGCACCTAGTGATTTGGCTTCGCGTAAGGCTAAGCGGCGTTTATAAGGGGAGTTTAACCCCTTGGCATTCAGGGAGCATATTTTGAGTGCCATCTAGGTGGTGGGTTTGGTTGTGGCTTCATTCTGGTAGCATAACCATTAGGATGGTGCCAGCTGGTGGTAGTGGTATGGGACTTATTATCTGTGGGTCTGATTTTTAAAGAAAATAATATGGAAAAAGAAAAAAAAGCAATAGAACAATTGGACCGTAAGTCAACTATATACATTATTCCGTTCACTGCGCCCCGGTAGTGCAGTGTCGAGTATAACGGATTCTCTAGTGGCTCTGAATTGCAGCCACTTGGGGGTGGGTAAAGAATTTTGTATACCGGTTTTAAAAGCAACAAAGGTAAAACGGTTGCTAAATGTCTTAGGTTAGCTCTCGACAGGTGCGAGTAAGCTATGAGTCCGGCATGGTAAACTAAAGGAGGGGTAGGTGTGAGTGCATTTTATGCATACGACCTGTCCTTTATACATGTAGTACAGTCCACGGACAGTTAGGTGTCCTGGATCTTCTTGTTGTAACTGTGTGTGCCCGTGGAGCGTGATCTTTTCTGCCACTCGTTGTGTAGTTTGATTGCAGATCCGCTTTCTGTGGATGCAATTTTAGCTTCTAGGCGTTGAACTTTCTCACATAGTGCTGTGTGGGCTTCAGATAGACCATTATGTGCGTCAATTATTTCCTCTGCCTGTTCCTCCAGGCGAGCTGTTCTTTCACCCATTGTTTGGATGTCTGCCCTGATTTCTGCAGCAACTTGCTGTAAATCTGTTTTAAAGGTGTTTTGAAAGCCTGAAAGCATGTTATGCAGGGAGGCATTGGTGACCGGAGTTTGCATGCTGTCTGTAGTGTGAGTAAGCTCACCCACTGTTGTACACGCGGCTGGGGATTGAGGTCGGCCGGCGCCATTTTGTTCTTCTGTTGCACTTTTCGGCGACGCTGCCACTTGTAACTGGAGCGTTTTCTGCTTGAATTTTTTGGCGATTTTAGTGGACATGTTGTTATGAAGGCGTACCCTCGTTTTGGGCTCGGTTGCCGGTGTTGAAACGCTGTATTTCCACGCTGTTGCACCCGTCGGCGGGAGAGCTCCGTGCTCAGGAGACCGCTCTCATTCGCCGCTAAGCCACGCCCCTGGGTTTTTATTTTATATATTGGGGCTGATGTGTACTATGGTCATTGCTGACGTCTAGGTGTAGTGGGAGATGCAGCTTAGGGCTTAATTTTCTATGTTTGTATTTGCCTTTCTATTACACAGTCATATGTGCCCTGTTAAAGGTTAATAAGTGTGTAGATGTTTAGAAAAATATACTTTTCTGTCTCAATTAGAGATTTTGCCTTTTAAGCGCAAAGAAGCAAGGGGAATTGTTAGAGTAGGGTCAGGGTAGGTGCAGAGACTCTCCCCCCAAAATTGCATCTTCACCTATGTGTCTCTTAACCTCCCTTTTGTGTTTCTTATCCCCTCTTTTGAATGTCTTTTACCTTTTAGTCTTCTGCCCGTTTTGTGTCTTACACCTTACTTTAGTGTATCTAACTCACCTTTTTCCCCATTGTATCTCTTACACATCATTGTGTGTCTCTTACTTCCTCCTAGCCCCTTTGTGAGTCTCTTACTATGCTTAAATTGGCCTGGACTTAACGTATATATAGAATGGTCAGAGACAAGCCAAGGTCATTGATACAGAATTAAACAAGTACGATAAGACAGGCCAATAGGTCAAGGATTACAGAAAGAAGAATAGTGAATAACAAGCCCAAGTCAAAATACCCAATACGAAATACAATATTTGAGTCTGAGTCTCTGCCTGGTGTTAAAGTAAGCATGGCCGTGCCAATCAGGCATGATCACGTGATCGCGCCTATCCGATGCTGTGAGACCCCTCTGTGCGTCTCTCCCCATGCACCTTTGTGTGTTTCTTTCTCCCCCAGATCCTTCATTAGAACTCTCAGTGTGTCTCTTTCCCCCGGACCCTCTGTGTGTCTCTCTCACCCCCAGCCACCTTATGGTTGCACTGCTCCTCACCTAAGAGATTCACCTTAAGGTGGCCATTGGAGTGATATGAAAATCCTCCAGTTATTTATTTATTCATTTAGGCATAGGGATGTGGGATAGTGTAACGGTATCTTTTTTTTTTGTTTTGTTTTTTTACATACCTCCTAACTTGTTCTCCATTATACAGTTGTATTAATCTTTTTATCCTTTCAAATATATCTATGCTTCACAATCTGCCTATGTGAACTTAAACTGTATAATCCCATCAGGGTCAGGGTCTACATGCTATTGAAGGGCTCTCTAGATCTCTGCTACAATTTTGTACATGACTGCTATCTTCCTCACATAGTGTGACCTGGAGACCTCAGCTCTTGTCTTGGGTGCCTTAATGGTTTCCTAGTCAACTATGAATGTTGTGAGTTGGATTTGATAACCCTCACTAATAAAATATTAAGTGCATGTTCCAGAAAAAAAATGTTTGTTCACTGTAAACATTTTTGTGGCTAAGGGAATGTTCCACGATATATGTGTTCAGTTACAAAAAATATATTATTTTCAATCATTTTTACAGTACTTACTAACTAACACGCAGGTTAAGAGGACAGTATCCTCTTAACCTGTGTGTTAGTCTATTTTGCTTGTAATATGTAAAAATAGAAGGCCCTAAGTAATAAAAAGGGGATGAACAACTATCCCCCCTGGCCCACACCAATTAGAGGAAGGTGAGGGCCCTAAGTGATAAGCGGTGAACCTATTGTCTCCCCCTGGCCCTCACCCATTAGCAGCAGGTGGCTGCCCTAAGTGACAAAGGGGGATCTATTACCTTCCACCAATTTTGTCACTTAGGGCCCCCATCAGCTGTTAATGGTTGGGGGACAGAAGGGAGACAAAAAGCACCCCCCCCTTTAATCACTTAGGGTCCCCACCCATAGTTTATTTTATTAGCCTCTACTCACAGGGCACGGGTGGGGGCTGGAGGGGCACTCTAAGGCTATCCCTCATTAATTATTTAATTAGGTGTCCCACAATGGGTCACATTAATCGATTTGTGGGAGGAGTAGTTTTATTTATTTTTTTAACAACAGTGAGCAGCCACTGGATACTCGTTGTTTAGTAGACATGCCCCTTCTTGCGGCATAGTGAGTAGGTGCAGGAGGCTTATTGACTAATACTAAGTAATTTTTACTTAGTATTAGTAAAGTTGTCTGAAAGATCAATTTTGTTATTTTAGCTTTTTAGTAGATAGCCCCATAATACTGTGAGAATTAGGGGGCTATCTAATACGGCTGCAAGATTAATTCTCCAAATGAAATTCCGAACTATAATGATTGAATTTCATTCAAACACGAATGAACAATGTGTTGACATTCAGTTCGGACAAAATTCGGTCAATTCGCCAGAGTCCAGGCTGAATGACAGGACGTTCGGGGATAATGAAAGAAGGCGTCGGGAGAACACGGAGGACGGTGAGTATTGTGGGAAAACTTTCTTTGACACAGGAAATGAAGTTGACTTAAGCACCTCATTTGGTCAAAGAAATTCAAGTGTAGGAAACACAGTTAACACAAAGAAGTCCATAATTTATCTTAAGTTTTAAAAAAGCTAGATCAGAGATAAATAAAAGAATAACATTTTCTGGTAGAGGAAGAGAAGAGGAAACAATAGGAGAAGGGTAAGTTCAACATGACCGTGATGTTTTGAGTTAACAAAAATATGTAATGTGTCAATATATTCTTATTCACCATGTGGTTCTATTTTACCTTGTGGTCTTTATGTGAAATACAAAACAACCTAGTAGAGCCTGATTCTTTCAGAATTGCAATTTTCGGTAAACCGTTTCTCCACTTCTCCAGAAACAGCAGGTTCTATTTCTTTATCCTCTTCAATGGTACTGACATCTAATCTTCTTCAGTGATCCATGGATTAGAACACACTTTGAATGTATATCAATAATCCCATATTTCCTAACTAACCCTAAAAGAATAGATAAAATGTGTGCAATACTAATACTGCTACTTTATTATATGCATTTTTTGGGTAATGGACCTCCCATATTCCAGTCCACAGCACTGACCCTTAAAGCCCAATTTTAAGTAGCCCTATAAATCATCTAAAAGATTAAATTAAATATGATGACATTTGTGTAGAAACTTTATTGTTTCATATAGTATTTTCTTTCTGTGTACTAGGCTTTTCTATTCCTTGCAAGGCAGATGTCAGAATGTAGAAATCCTTGTTCGGCGTTAAAGGAACATTCAAAGCACCATAACTACTACAGCCTGCTATCGCTGTTACAATGTCAGGTGTGCCCTGACACCATCTCACAGTAAGTAGTCAAACTATTTTTGTACTAGCTGACATCTTGTATGGGTGCCCGCACCACATCCTGTTCTCCTGCATAATCTAAATATCTCAATTGAGGCTCTCAATCAGTTTAATTAATTTGGACACGATGACTAACTCCACCTATTTTTAGATTCTTGCCTTCAAAAGGAATGTTAGAACCTATGGACCTAAAGGAGACACTAGCAAAAGGACACAAAGTGATGTAGATCAGAATTTTCTAAATAATAAATGACACTGGGAGTCACAACAGTTAGCAATATCGTCATGACTGAATCTGCTTAAGAAACACAACCGTTATAAAGTAATCACCAGCAATTATTAGCATATTAACTGGATACAAAACAATAGTGCACTTTTAATGAAACCACTCTACGTATATTATTCATTTTTTTAAATTACATTTATGTGATTAAATGTGATTAAAATACTGACAAGCTAATATCAGCTTTCACTGAGTCTGTCCTTCTTGAATCAATATGTACAATATTTTGTGCAAAAGAATTTTGAGAGCCTCGTTCTGTCTTTGTTCAGCTTGGAATATCAGGTGTAATTTTCACATTTCTCAGATTGTTGGTCCAATAAATATTGTTAGCTTCTAGATTTACTAAAACATGAAAGAAATAAACATTAATACGGTATTTTCATTCCTTAAAATCACATGTTGCAGAAGAGTAGAAATGCAAGAAATCGAAATGAAGACATTCTTGTTTGCTTGTGTTAGAGGAGATATGACAACATAACACAAATATATACAGGCCTGAACAAACTTCTTCTCCTGTTAATGCACTGGACTGTAGTGTGTGTGTGTGTGTGTGTGTGTGTGTGTGCAGGTCCGTCTAAAATAGGATTAGGACCCTGGGCAATGCATTTTCTTGGGCCCCCTGGGCCCTGCTCCTCCAACCACCCCACCTACTGACACACACACAGACACACATACATAAATACACACAGAGACACATACACTGACAGATATACTGACACACACAGACACATACACTGACAGACGTATTGACACACACACACAGACATGCTGAAACACACAGGCATTCTGACATACACACACAGACACACTGACACACACAGGCATACTGACAGACAGACATACTGACACACACAGGCATACTGAAACATACACACACACACACACACATAGTGACATACACACATACTGACATACATTTAGCCACCCTCCAGGCTCTTACCTTTTTCTTGAGGGTGATTTCCCTGGGGTCCAGTGGCAGGCTGAGGCAGTTGGGAGTTCTCCTCTGGAACTCCCCTCCTCCTTGCCTTCCTCCTCCCGCGCGGGTGTGATCTCCGGTAAGAGAAAGTGACGCGCTGCACTCACTTCCTCCCAGCCGACTGCCGAACAGGAAGGGGCCCGGTTGCGCTGTTTAAGAGTCACAGCGCCAGGCCCCTGCTGACACATGCTCACGCATGGGCCACCCGGGGGGCCTCCATAATGTGTGCGGGCCGGTGCAGCTCTGTGCAGCTCAAATCGCAGGGCCCCCCAGGAGCAACTGGGCCTGGGGCAGCTGCCCCGTTTGCCCCATGTTAAAGACGGGTGTGTGTGTGTGTGTATATATATATATATTTCTTGGAGTGCATCTTTGAGTGTTAAGTTACACATGTGTTTGGACGTATTTATGAGTTTCAGCATGTTG